AACAACACTGGTACTGGGAAATATTGAGGGCAGGAGGAGAAGGGGGAGACAGATTATGAGATGGTTGGATGGCATCACCAACTCAATGGACTTGAATTTCAGCAAACTCAGGGAGATAGTGAAGGACAGGGAAGCCTGGTGTGCTGCAGTCCATGGGGTCACAAAGAGTCAGACACAACTTAGTGACTGAACAACAACAACGATGGCAAGAATGTTGTGTGTATTTGTTGTGGATAAGGTTTTACTACAGGGTGGTGGATTGGTGGGTCTCCCCAAGGAAGCCTTTTCTTTGTCAATGTGGTGCAGCCCTGGCTGTTCCCACAGTTAGCTTCTCGAGTTCAACAATGAGTGTTCTCAGGAGGGGTTCTTTTATACAGCTTTAGTCCCCGACTTTGACAGATCCATCATTTTCTTTGTGTGGGTCCATTTTAGAGTTTTCTGTTCTTGGCTGCTTACCTCACAACCATTAGTCATGTGCTAAAATTCCCTCTCTAAGGATTTTCGCACAAGGTTTGGTTGGTTAGATTTTGCTCAAAAGAGAAAGTCTAGAGGTGAGTGCAAAGCCAGTGTTGGTTGATGTTCTGCTCTTATGAAATGGAGATCTAGGATCAGAAGGGTCTGAATTAGTAGTTCTCAGATTTTAGTGTACAAAAGAATCCCTTGGAAAACTAAGCTAAAAGATTCATAGATGCTGGATTTTTCAGGTGTAGTCAGTAAGTCTGGACTGGGGTTTTAAAAAAATAAGCATGCCATGATTACAATACAGGTGGTCCAAAGTCTAACATTGAGGTGTATGGGCTTATTAATCTTTTCCTCAATTGTTTTCTGAGTTGCTTCTTTCCCTCGCTAGGCTGAAGATCATGGCCATTCGACTGCTTATTTGGAACAACTCACTGTGATAAATGAAAGGGTGAAATTGTCAGGTTTGAAATGGTGAATTCAAAGTCTTTTGGTGAATGCAGAGTCTTTTATATAATCCTTCAAGCCACTTGAAAGTCACTTTGTGACTACAACACACAGAACAAGCTTAGTGGTGCCTTGCTCCGTGTTTCATCTGAGAATGTCATTCTCAGGTCATTTAATCCAGGCACCTCAATGTTTGGGGAAAATAAAACAACTCTTTAGCTTATTTTCTCCTCAAAATACTAGTAACCCTGATTTTAAAACTATTAAAGTTAGAATATCTATTTTCTATACCTGGATTGCAACTTTCTAAAATCTCCCCCTCCATCTTTGTGAAACCAAATAGTTCATGCCTAAGGCAGTGGATTTCTTTAGATGAGAACTGAAATGCCAGTCCCTTTATGCTAATGTTAATTTCTAGGCACTGAACTTGGTTAACCAAGAGAAAATAAAAACTTTAGATGAAATGTGTTATTTATAGTGAATGCAAAGCATCATTATTATCAATTCTTATTACAAAATACACAGAAAAAATATCCTTTTTGTTATTTAAATATGGCATGGATACATTGAGAAATAGTACAGATGTTAATCCACAGCCTCTCAGCTGCATCCTGGATAATCATTATTATGTTTTATTCTTATTTGGAATTACTAGTAATAGACTGTATTTCTATATGAAATTCAAATCAGGGAACACCAATGAATTGAGATGATTGATATTATATATAGATAGATATACACATAATTTTGGAATTGGGGCGGCGATAGAAATATATCCTTCTCTTAGAAAATAATCTACCCAACTTGCTGCTGTGTTAGTGATCTTCATTAGTAATGTTTGTCACTTAACTAGATACACTAAGAATTCATATAATTCTTTGAGACTGAATTGAGCCAACCCTTGACCAGTGTCTAAATTTGTTTTGAGAATAACTACGTCATTGTTGAAAATCTGAAATGTAAATATGTAGATTTTGAAATATCTGACTTTTAAACATGAGTGTTTAGAAAGATACATGTTTGCTTACTTTTATTCCATGCTTTTGTTATGTGTTCTTTGAAAAATTCTATTTTCACTGTTTGAATCTCTCATTAGCATGAGATTTTCTACATGGACGAAGGAGAGAGGATGGTGGTGGTGATATAATTCATGGCATCTTTGAATGCGGATGTCATGTGCATCTGCATTTATGGAAAGATATTCATGACTTCTTCCTCATCCGAACTGGTGTAGAAGCACTGACTGAGTCCAGTGCTATTATTTTATAGATGAGAAGATTGAAGCAGGTGATCTTCCTGCTTGAAGATTGAACTAGGTGATCCTCCATAGTTCATAGAGTTAGCTTACAAAAGGCATTGAATCTCGGTTCCTCGTCTTTCTGAATCCATATTCTGCTTGTTCTCTCAACAAGGTCAGAGGCTTGTCCCTATTCCTCTAAAATAAAATACCATTCAGTTTGCTTTTCTTGAGTCCTTAATTTTTCTTCTACCCTAACCTCAACATGTGAAGTTTTAAAGCCTGGATTAAAAGCCTTAAAAGAAATCACCTTATCATATTTCACCTTGATCCCCAAATCTGCTTTCTTCTTTTCCCTCAGTTCTGGTTCACCTGAGTGAATTCAGTCTCATCCTATCACCTATCAACAGAAGGCTGGTTATTAAGGTCTTCCAGGACCACAGTTGTAGTTCACATCCATCCAAATAATCACATATAAGGGGAAAGAGGATTGCGAGCTACAGGGTGCTATTCAGTATCACTTTACATCATAGCCACTGGCCCTTCTGTCTCAAAATTTGTTAGGCAGTGCATAAATCGGCCGGCTGAACATTAAAAAGTGAAAAATACCTCAAATAGAACGGTTCTTTTGGACCATGTTTGATGTTTAAGCTAGTGTAGTTGGTACCACAAAACAAGCAGAAATGGATAAGATACAGCCATGCTGTCCAGGAGCTTACAGCCCAAAGAAGGGGAAAGAAAGCTCCAAATGCATGTAATAGACAAAGATGTGTCCACCAAGAGATAATTTATAAATCATGTGGTCAGAGGAAGACCTGAGGGTATAGAAAAGCCTTCTAGGAAAAAAAAAAAATGAGATTGTAAAGAATGAAAGCCACAAAAAAAAAAAAAAAAGAATGAAAGCCACTTTCCTGGTATGGGTAGTGTTGCTGAAACCCTGTTTATCAGTGCAGAATAGGAACATAGAGACTAAGTACACTGTTGCTTCTCATTATTAATATATCTACAAAATTATTGTTTGCTTTCAACTATGATATCCCCTTAACAGAGCAGAGATGTTTTAACTTTGTGACAGTAGACAGGCTTCCAGGGTGACAGAAGCACAAAAGTCAGGTAGGAGGCACAAAATATGAGTTTTAATGTTTTGCCAGGCCAAAGCGGCCGCAACAGGCTAATGCCTTCAAAATTGTGTGACCCTCCCCGCCCACCGGAGGGGTAGTAAGGAGTTTCATAGTGTTCAAGCAACAGGGTATGATCAACTCATGGACAATCCTGGAACTGGTTGGCATCGAGGTGAAGTTCCAAGCATCATCTACTTTCTGATTTGATCCCGTCTAGGGTCTTGTTTTTGTAGTTTTCATCTAGGAGGGGTCTGCTTCTTGTAAAAACAACTTGGAATGAGTGTCCAGTCTTTATCTATATCTTTAAGGAAACTGGAAGTTCAGTAACTTTGTTGTGTAGCAGCTGTATAATCTGGATTGTTACCAGTTCCCCAGACCAACAGCTGTTCTCTTTCTATATCTTCATGTTTCTCAATCATTAACTGTTGAGTCATGTATGTGCATGCATGCTAAGTAACTTCAGTTGTGTCTGATTCTTTATTACCCTATGGATTTTAAATGGCCAGGCTCCTCTGTCCATGGGATTTTCCAGGCAAGAATACTGGAGTGGGTTGCCATACCCTGCTTCAGGGGATCTTCCTGACCTAGGAATCAAACCCATGTCTGTTGTATCTCCCTCACTGGCAGGCAGAGGTGGTACAGGTGAATAAACAACTTGCCTTTCAAAGCAGCAAATGCAAGAGATGTGGGTTTGGTCCCTGGATTGGGAAGATCCCCTGGAAAAGGGAATGGCAACCCACTCCAGTGTTCTTGCCTGGGAAATCCCATGGACAGAGGAGCCTGGTGGGCTACAGTCCATGGGCATGACTGAACATGGATGCACACAGGCTCTTACTTCAAAAGATGAGGACACAAGGCCTTGTGCAAGGTTTCAGTGATGAGGTGTGTTTTGACCAATATTTATTTAGGTGTTTGCTTTAGAAGTTTATGCACACTACATTGTTGCTTCAAATCTTGTTTGTTGATTATTCCTTTCTTCGAACTTTGCAGCTCTATGACAATAAGTTTTGTGCATCTTGCTTCTGTTAGGGAGAATTTGGAAATTCATACTTCATTTGTATTAATATACTCAAGCCTCCTTGAAGTTGAAATAGACTAATCTGACTGTAACTGAACTTGTGTACTGAGTCAGTTCCCGCTGTGTGATATGTACACAAGTACCCCCATGTATTGGTTCATAACAGATTTAAAAAAAAAAACTATTCATTTACCAAGCATAATTTGAGCACCATGACTCTAGGTTATTGTTTATTTACCTACGTATGCAATTTCTAAAAGTTTTATACATATTTTAGCAGTATACTGATGCTTCTCATTATTAATGTATTTACGAAATCACTATTGCTTACTTCCAACTATGTTATCCCATTACAGAGGAGAAACATTTTAACTCTGTGACATTAGACAGCCTTCCAGGATGACAGCCGCACAAAAGCATGTAGGAGGCACAAAATGTGAACAAAATCAGAGGCTGGACTAAGGTCAGATAGAACAGTAAGAAGTGGAGAAGAGAAAAGGGAATGCCAAGCTGTTCTGGTTCTGGAATTTGTGGGAAAAATAAGTCATCAGTATGAAATACGAGAGTTCATATTACTGCTTCATAATTCACAAAGATTACTCTTCAATAGGAAATGTCATCCAGAGGCTGGACTGAATCTGTTGTGTATTACTATTTTTTGTTTGTTTACCTCTTTTATTTTTATTTTGTTGTTATTCCCTGTAATTCTCCCTATCAGGAATATGTTCATTTCGGGACATTTTCTTTTCTCATTTCAGATGACTACACACTGCATGGTCCAATTTTCATTCAAGAACCAAGTCATGTAATGTTCCCTTTAGACTCTGAGGAGAAAAAAGTGAAGCTCACTTGTGAAGTTAAAGGGAATCCGAAACCTCACATCAGGTTTGTTGACTTAAAAACATGTGTTTCCATGCATACACTTTCTATTAGTAAAACCAGCAAATACTTATGGATTGCTAATTACATAAAGAGCTTTTAGACAGACATCGTTGGATATCCTGAGATGCTAAAGAGACGCTCGTATTCATGAACAGTTTAGTACCCAACTTTGTTTCTGTCAATACTAGAAATGAAATATCCTGATTGACCATTTCACTGAAAGCCTTAGCATCACTTAACATATTTTTTAAAACACCTTTTAAAAATGCATCAATAAATGGGCAGGAAAGTAAGGAATGTTTAATAATTGATTTGGAACCCAAAGAAGCAAACTGAACACTAAAATCATTTTTCATCTTGATGGACTATGTGAATTGCAGCTTTGGATTTTATAGTTTCACAGGGGACTAGGGTCACAAGACAAGGCCTAGCCTCAACCAACTGGAGAATCTAACATGAGAAAACCTTCCAGAATATACTTGGAATTCAAGGAATATAATCGTATGGTGAATGTAAAAGAAGTAGCCTTGCCTCCCAAAGAACTGAAAAGCAAAAAGTAATCACCTATTTCAAACCTTGGTGCTACATGATTTTAGTAACAGATGAAGCACAGCTGAAAAGAGAATTAGTAACGTGCAAGACATATCTGAAGAAATTGTCTAGAAGCAACAGATAAAGAGGAGCAAAATGTGACAGAGAAGAGATTAAGTGAAAACATTCACATATCTAATCAAAATTCCATAAGGAATGAAAAAAAAATGAGGCAGAAGCATTATTTAAGGAGAAAACTAAGAATTTTCCAAAGCTAATTTAACATTCAAATCTACAGATTTAGTAAACCTAATGAATTTCAAGCAGTGCAAACAAAAATAAAGCCCTATATAGAGTTATCATGGTGAAACAGAAAAACACTTAACTTGAAGATATGATCGTAAATGTAGGCCACAGTTGTAATACAGCTAACTTTCAAAGAGATGACAGTTAAACCAGCAGCTGACTTCTCAATAGCAACAAAAAAAGCAAAAGAGAAGACAGAATCTTCAATATGCTGAGAGAAATTAACTATAAAATTTTTATATAACAAATACTTTTTATAAAGTAGAACAAAGTAAATTAATTTTTAGGTAGACAGAAACTGAAGTTTGACTCCAGCAGACCCTGCCTAAAGAAAGTTCTGAAAGATATACTTTAAACAGAATGAAAATAATCCCAGGTAGACTGCCTTTAGATATAAGAGTGAATGATAAGTAAAGCAAATGGTAAAGGTTAGTTTTTTCCACATAAAAACCAATTGCACTAAACAACAAAAATAGTAAAAGCATACTATCTTGTGAAGATTAAAAGAGAAAATTTAAAAGTCATGACAATATTAGAAATAAATTGAAAAGATATATACTACACAGTGGAATCTGTACGGTTATAAAAATGAACTAAAGTTGGATCCCTACCTCACAGCATACACAAGGGTCAATTCCCAGTGAAGAGAAGACCAACATGCGAAATTTGCAAAATGTTTCAAAGGAAATAGGCATGCATATTTAAGACTTTAGGGGGAAGAAAAAAAATTCAATTATAACCAAAAAGAACAAATGATAGAAGAAAATATTTAACTTCATTAATGTTAAAAATTGCTATTCAGTAGAATATACCGGGATGAGTAAAATTATAAGCTTCCAACTGGGAGAAGATATTTGTGATACATATTATTTATAAAGTCTAAACTATTTAAAGAATTCCTAAAAATCAAAAGATAACAGACATGTAACCTAATTAAAATGTTACCAAAAGACTTGATCAGGTACTTCCTAGAAAAGGCTATTAAATATCCATTAAACACACAATAAGATTACCATTAGTAAATGTGCCCTGTGTGTGCTTAGTCAGTCATGTCCAACTCTTTGCGGCCCCATGGACTGTAGCCTGCCAGGCTCCTTGCCCATGGGGAGTCTCCAAGCAAGAATACTGGAGTGAGTTGCCCTCCTCCAGGGATCAAACCCAGGTCTCCTGCATTGCACATGGATTCTTTACCCTTTACCCACGCGGGAATAAATAGCCCCCGTTAATAAACAGAAATGTATAAATTAAAACTAAAATGACAGACTCATTCAAACTCATCAGTTTGACAGAAATTTGCAAGAACAAATTTAGCGTAAGTAACATACTGAATATAACTTGGCGTGTTCACACAAGGTAACCCAATGAAGTAGTGAAAATGAATGAACTAGAACTACAACAACACTATCATAGGAACATAACGTTGAGTCAACAAAGCAAGTCACAGAAGAATACAGAGTATAATCCTGTATTTATTAAGTTCCAAAGCAGGTAAGATAGAGTAGTTGTTTAAGGATACTAGCATACATGATAAAATCATAAAGAAAATCAAAAGAATGAAATAGCAAAATTCGGAATTATCATGAACCACTGAGAGGGAAATGATTGGAATGAAAATGGCAATAGGAGACTTCAAAAGTAATAATATTCTTTGTCTTAGAGGTCTTTCTAAATATCTTATAAATATAATTTTGTCTCTATTCACATTTAATGATATAAACCTTAAGCTAATAATCAATATATGTGGTAGTATGTGAAAACCACAAGAATATATGGCATGTGTATCACAGTTTAGGGGAAGAAGAGATTGGAATCATCCAAGAGTTATAGAAGAAGTAGAATTTGAACTGAGGTAGATAGTTTTCAAATTGGAAGGATGGTGGCATTAACAGAGTAGAAATTATTTTACAATTTAGTTTGTGTGCCAATTCATTTATTCATCAAACAGCATTATTCATTGGACCACTCCACTGATTTTTCAGACTGGAGTCTAGTCCATGGAGTTGACTCAGGAATGACCCTGGCTGAATTATGTTGGGTTTCCAAACAAGATTCCTTCACAGTAGTTCTGCTTTGAACTAGGGTGTATATTAGGATTTTAAAAAATACATCCTTTAGGAAAGGTGTTTAAACCACCATATTAAGAAGCTGCAATGTTCCAGTATCATGCTAGGTTTGAAGAATTCAAAGCTGAATAAACTACATGTTCAAGCAGTATACTTTGGTGGTGAGTGCCTAGGGAAGGAAGTACAAGGTTAAGTGTGAGAAAAGGATGTCCAGGTTCTAGGGTATCATGAGGGAAGAAGGTCTGCTTCAGGGTAGAGAGGGAGGATATCAATAAAAGTTTCCCAGAAAAGGAGATACTTAACTGAATTTAGGGCAAATGACCTTTTGTCATAGGGATGGGAAAAGGAAGTATTCTAGAAAGAAAAAAAAGCCCTCTCCAATAGACCATATAATTAGGATAAACATTATTTTATCATCTTAACCAGGACACTTATGAGAGCGAAAGGCTATTGTTAATAATTATCTAGGACAATAAGTGTATACCCAGAACTTCCGTGGACAAATCAGAATATGTAGTTATTCTCCCTATATGAAGCTAAATTCAAAGCTATATCAAATAGTTTTTTAATGCTTTATGTAGTAAAAATAAATAAATAAATAAATGCAAGAGGGAAAGGTTCCTACACACATAAATGATGATGTAATGGCCCCCAGTTTTTTAGTACATCGCCAAGTGTAAGTTCAAATGTGAGCAGTAAATGAAAACAAAATTTGCAGCAGAATTTGGCAAGTTGATGCTTTGCTTCTCCCCAAACTGTGACCTTTAATTAACACTGCCTTTGTAACATTGTGCTTCTAGATATTAGGGCTTGCTTTGTTATTTAAAACAATCAGAGGAACAGAAATCTATTATGTTTTTAAAGATTGCTGGGAAACACTGAGAAGAAAAGTTTTAATTACATGCACTAGGAATTGGTTACAGTGTACTTTCTTTTCCTTTATTATACTTCTGGCAGTTTCTCATGAAATAATAGCTCATTGGTACCTAGGAGCTAAAAAACTCCCTTTTGTGGAAGGAAAGAGCAAGAGAAAGAATGGCGAGATCAGATATTTTCAACATCTTTCTGGCTGAACTTTATCTGGGTTCATGCTGACTTTGAGGGGGGGAAATTCATAGGAGAAATTCAAGGTGATTTCTCCATGGGGGTCTTCGCCATTAGGTTCTTCCCTCAAGCACCTAGATTGACCTCTCTTCTTTGTGTTTACTCCGTGAACAGAGCCTTGTCTTTTCACTGTTTCCTGCCCCTCAGTTTTGAAAGGGTTGACTCAGACCCAGAAAAACTTAAAAAGTTTTGACTTGTGCACACTTGCCTTGTATTAAAGTTCCCCGAGGACATGTGACATTACGTATGGCTCTCAGCCTCCCTTTCCCGTCGGAAAGGATGGTCAAGTACTCGATGGAAGTACTTTTACTGTGAAGTTAGTATTCAGCTTGGTTTGCAGACTACAGATTCCAGGTCAGAAAGGTCCTTCCCCTTCTTAGCTGCCAATTTGAAATAGTGAACAAAGAAAAAGGGATGTTTTGCTACAATACATCCCATAGGTAGCTTCCCACTAAGGTCTGAAAAATGATACCTTCCAGAGCTTCACAGTGTTTGGTTGTGCACAGCCCCCACGGCATTGTGTTTCCCCAAGTGATGCAGAAATCAGCTTATGAGACTCACCCATGTGCCCTGGCCCTTGGGAAAAATCTCTGCGTGCCAAATGAGCATACCTCTCTATGGCCAGTTCTTAAAGGACTTCTCAAACACTGAAAATAAATCGTGAATTTTTCAAGACTGTTTCAGTATGGAATAGGATAAGGAATTCAATGCAGTCCACATTCAATTGGAATGAACAGTGACTGCATTGCAATAAAACTTGGTATAGGGCTTTGTAAAGGAGACTCAGCTGCATTTCACAGCAAGCGCTTTATTTTCTAAATAATGCATTGTACGTAAAAGCGGGTAATAAAGTAGATTAATGGCCTTTCTACAGAACATTTCAGTTGAGATGACAAGTGTAGACAGACCCGCAGAGGTGTTCTCATTATCCCTACAAAGACTTTTCTAAAAAGACTCACGTGGTCTCATTCCTGAGTTCCATACTCTGCTTGTGGCTCACATTATATTGCAATTTCCTCTTTGAGTTTTTAGATTTGTCATATTAAATTGCTCAACTATCATTTGAAGTGAGAGTTATGATAGAGATGTGACCAGCTGACTCAAAAAATATCTAGGGCAGGCAGTCAGCTCTGGAGATTCATGAGCATATATACCTGCTAGGATATAACCTGGCTGTTCTCTTTTTATTGCTTATTACTTTCTTGTCTGTGTCAGAACACAGAATTACTGTCAAGCTTAAGAACAGTTTCAATTTCTAATACCCATCTTCTTATAAACAAACGCATAGAGTTATGTCCCATTTCCCGATCAGGTCCACCTTCCCCACCCCTCATGTTTCTATATTTTTGCTTTTCAAAGACACAGACATGAGCAAACATACACCACTATGCTGTGGTAGGCTAGGATGCTTCATAAGTTGTGTGTGCACACAGCTAAAATATCCAGCCAAGAAGTAAAATATTTAGTGAAATACCACAATTATTGATTGAGAACATTGAGTGTCAAGTTCTAAATGACTGACAGGAGAATACAGAAGTGATACAGGCAAACTATCTAAAGTGAAGGCAGAATGCCCACCTAAACAAGTAAGGAGAATTCTGTAGGAGGTTGGGGGGAGCTATGATTTATCTTGACGAAGGATATTGAGGAAGACTTCATTAGAAAAAGTGTGGTTTAAGATTGCAGTGTGAGAGACATGTTGGTGGAAAAAAAGCACTCACCCTAATGTTTTTTGTTGAATACCAGTATCCAAAATCTGAAAGTAACTGACCTTTCATTTTTTTTATTTAAATCCTTTTACACTATGCATGCCAGCCCTAGTGCCCCAGAATGTTATAAGAGGGTGCACAATGAAGATGTATATATATGCACACATTTAAATACTGTATTTTTATTTGTTTGTTTGAAGGAAATAAAATGACTGTTTCTCACTCTTTAGTCCTGTTATTGTTTCTGATCAATTTTCTTTGTGCTCTAGTCTTGCTTTATTTTTGGTCCCCTTGTATGAATGCTCCTAGGAAACTATTGATGATAATTCAGATACTGACTATGCTGTTTTCATTACCTGATTTGGGTTTAACCAAAAACTTCATTCGGGCTCTTCTGTAAGCTGTTACGGAAAAACCCAAATGAACTTTTTGGTCAAGCCAATATTTTATGTAGGATAGTGGGGAAGGAAGAGGAAAAAAAACAAGATAGTCATTGTATTATATTAGTTTGAAAGTTTGTACATATTAAAACAACTTACTGAAAGGCCCTTTGGTTAAAATAAGCTCTCTCTGGAACGTTATTGGCTGTTTAGAAAAAAAGAAAGGAAAAGAAAAGTAGATTTTGTTACTAAAGTTTTGCTGTTTAAATGTGTGAGTCCCACTAAAACTAATTTATTGGGCCAGACCGTGTACTCAGATTCAGATGATCTGAGTAAACAAACAGGAAAACAGCAAAACCCTCTTTGTGTCTGTTACCTAATGGCCTGATCTGCAGTTCACTGGGCTGGTTGATTGATGTTTGAGTGCCAGTAGCTAAGGAGATCTTCAAAGTGATCCATGGTTAAGGCTAGTTTGGTTCCTAAGACAGCTCTAGATCAATAGAATTCCTCTACTTTGTAGTCAACCATTTCAGTCATATTAAGGACCAAGTCAAAGCAAATCTGCTGCAATTTCATCAAATACTCAGCCAACTACCCGAAAGTGGGGTATTCTGTTATCTCTATAGACCTATTAAAGAATGACTGAAAACCAGAAAAAGAACTTTTACTGAGGAGTGCTATTTGAAGATGCTTATACAAGATGCTATAGGAAATTTCAAAAAAAAAAAAAGAAAAGAAAAAAAGGAGTGAAGTGTCTGTAGCACTGTAAACAGTCATAAAAACAGGTGTTAAAATTTTAATATCAGTTTACCTAAAAAGGATGTGCTCATTTCATAAACATTTGTGTTGACACCATTTCTATGTAGAGCTTTTCTATTTTTTTTTTTACCATGGTTAAAAGAAAAAGTCACAGATGATATTTTATGCTATTTGTAGTTTTTTATATATATATATATTTTAGACAATTCAGAAATATTGTTTAATATTACAAGGCTTTATCTACTGGCATTTTTATACTATAGGTGGAAGTTAAACGGAACAGATGTTGACATTGGTATGGATTTCCGCTACAGTGTTGTTGAAGGCAGCTTGTTGATCAATAACCCCAATAAAACCCAAGATGCTGGAATGTACCAGTGCATAGCAACAAACTCGTTTGGAACAATTGTTAGCAGAGAAGCAAAGCTTCAGTTTGCTTGTAAGTAGCAATTATATCATATTGCAAAGTGACTTTGAATTTTTGTGCCATTGTACCAATCAACCTTTAAAGCAGTTTATCTTAAAAAGTCAAAGAGATTTCAGTTTGTTATATTGGTCTTCTTTACCTTTTTAAATATTTGCACAATGCCTTTTTTGTAGGATAAATGGTAAATCTGAATGGGAAGACATTTTCATCTGAACTTACAAGGGTTGAGATAGTTTGACTATATGGTAGCTTGCTTATATGATACTCTATACACATAAATTCACATCCACTTAAATTTATACACATAAAGTTTACATATACAATAAGTTATACACACACACATTTTAAGGAGAGTGTGTATAAGCAAGCAATGGAACTGCCAGTAACTGCCGGTACTGCAAAGTGCTTTAGCCATAAAGCTCACAGCTGGAAAAGAGAAAACCTTGGTAGTTTATTAATCCTGTAATTCTCTAGTTCTTTTTCTTCTTTGAAAGAAAAGGGACATTTTGAAAGCCATTACATAAACAAACATAGAGACAATCAAAGCTTTACCTTTTGTATTTCTGGTTTAGAACATTTAAAAAACAATTTGCTGTCTCTTAATACCACCACCTAATAAAAGTTTATGAGCATATGGAAAGATAGTGGAATTTAGAAATAGCAAGTTGAAAGTAAAATCCACGGGCAAGAGTAGTCAGTACACATTTTTAATAGACACCTTAGAGGATGGCTGTTCAGCTGTATTTTAAAGTATTTATGTATTTGCTTATGATTATATGTTTTCTTGTGTAAAATTCCAACTCATATAGCGGTGCATTAATGTCAAAGTTTTCCTAATTATGAAGTCTGTTGGCAGTAACACTGTAGAATAGTCTCATTAATAAAATCCTCTCGGGAAACTCAATACCAAATATACCTAATATCCAGTGCTTAATCTATTATTGCCATTTGGTGGCATTTTTATTAATTGAGAAATGAGTTTTCTAAATATTAGGTATATATGGGACTCCGGGATTATTTTATTTTTGAATTTCTTTTGAGGTAGTCTTCCAAATAATCTAAAGTGGGCAGAAAAAAAGGAGGGTATGTCTGATTGAGTGGTATAGAACCAGAGTGTTTATTTCTCTTGGTTTAACACAAATCTAATATCTGTATTTATTTTTAACAAGGAGATTTTCTTGGGTTCATTTTAGAAAATGATCATAAACTCCCAGAGTAGGGAAACCTCCATATTAAATTTCTTTTATTTTTGGATTTCATGATGTGGGAAATTTTAAAAAACAGTAACAATAATAGCACCAGAAAAGAGGTTAACATACCAGGAGCAACTTTTCATTTTTCTAATTTATGACATTTAAAACTTAACTTACTAACTCTTAAGACTCTCCTTTTGTAAAAGTCCATACATTTCTACTACCAAAAATATTGGAAAGACAGAATCTCATATTCAGCTACAGTCATTTAAACAGGGGCTTCCCAGGCAGCACAGTAGTAAGGAATCTGCCTGCCAATGCAGGATACACAAGAGACGTGGATTCCATCCCTGGATGGAGGAGATCCCCTGGAAGAGGAAATAGCAACCAATTCAAGTATCCTTGCCTGGAAAATTCCATGGACAGAGGAACCTGGTGGGCTACAGTCCATGGGGCCATAAAGAGTCGGATGCAACTGAGCATGCAGTCACACATTCACGTTTAAATAGGACAGTTCAGCCAAAGTAAAACTCTCCCACTCATTTTGCATTTGAGTGGCCTAAGTTTGACATCTGCCCTGCTTTCCTCACTCTTCAAGCCTAATATCCTACAACCCTCAGAATCCTTGGTTGATAATCACTCAGTTTGAAAAATTCTGAAGATCGAGAGCTCGTCTGTTCATTACAAAGCATCCTGAACCATAGTTGCTCTAGTTGTGCACAAACACAAAAACAAGTTCAATATCTCTTCCTTGAAATTGAAGTAGGTATTTAAATCTCTCATCTTCATTTTTGGTACTTACTCTATGATTTTGGTGAGGCTTCAAATCTGAAAATACTGTCATTCTCCCTGTCCCATATTTATTTTCTTCTCTAGGTACTTAATCCACAACCAATTTCTTCACAACATAATTACACTCAATTATATATCAATTATATATCAATTATATATCAGTCAGGTTTGTGACATTGTACAGGAGACAGGGATCAAGACCATCACCATGGAAAAGAAATGCAAAAAAGCAAAATGGTTGTCTGAGGAGGGCTTACAAATAGCTGTGAAAAGAAGAGAAGCAAAAAGCAAAGGAGAAAAGGAAAGATATTCCCATTTGAATGCAGAGTTCCAAAGAATAGCCAGGAGAGATAAGAAAGCCTTCCTCAGGTATCAGTGCAAAGAAATAGAGGAAAACAACAGAATGGAAAAGACTAGAGATCTAGTCAAGAAAATTAGAGATACCAAGGGAACATTTCATGCAAAAATGGGCTCAATAAAGGACAGAAATGGTATGGACCTAACAGAAGCAGAAGATATTAAGAAGAGGTGGCAAGAATACACAGAAGAACTGTACAAAAAAGATCTTCATGATCCAGATAATCACAATGGTGTGATCAATCACCTAGAGCCAGACATCCTGGAATGTGAAGTCAAGTGGGCCTTAGAAAGAATCGCTACTAACAAAGCTAGTGGATGTGATGAAATTCCCATTGAGCTATTTCAAATCCTGAAAGATGATGCTGTGAAAGTGCTGCACTCAATATGCCAGCAAATTTGGAAAACTCAGCAGTGGCCACAGGACTGGAAAAGGTCCGTTTTCATTCCAATCCCTAAGAAAGGCAATCCCAAAGAATGCTCAAACTACTGCACAATTGCACTCATCTCACACGCTAGTAAAGTAATCCTCAAAATTCTCCAAGCCAGGCTTCAGCAATTCGTGAACCCAGAACTTCCAGATGTTCAAGCTGGTTTTAGAAAAGGCAGAGGAACCAAAGGTCAAATTTCCAACATCCGCTGGATCATCGAAAAAGCAAGAGAATTCCAGAAATACATCTATTTCTGCTTTATTGACTATGCCAAAGCCTTTGACTGTGTGGATCACAATAAACTGTGGAAAATTCTGAAGGAGATGGGAATACCAGACCACCTGACCTGCCTCTTGAGAAACCTGTATGCAGGTCAGGAAGCAACAGTTAGAACTGGACATGGAACAACAGACTGATTCCAAATAGGAAAAGGAGTACGTCAAAGCTGTATATTGTCACCCTACTTATTTAACTTATATGCAGAGTACATCATGAGAAACGCTGGGCTGGAAGAAGCACAAGCTGGAATCAAGATAGCCGGGAGAAATATCAATAACCTCAGATATGCAGATGACACCACCCTTATGGCAGAAAGTGAAGAGGAACTAAAATGCCTCTTGATGAAAGTGAAAGAGGAGAGTGAAAAAGTTGGCTTAAAGCTTAATATTCAGAAAACTAAGATCATGGCATCTGGTCCCATCACCTCATGGGAAATAAATGGGGAGACAGTGGAAACAGTGTCAGACTTCATTTTTGGGGGGCACCAAAATCACTGCAGATGGTGACTGCAGCCATGAAATTAAAAGATGCTTACTCCTTGGAAGGAGAGTTATGACCAACCTAGATAGCATATTAAAAAGCAGAGACATGACTTTGGCAAGAAAGGTCCGTCTAGTCAAAGCTATGGTTTTTCCAGTGGTCATGTATGGATGTAAGAGTTGGACTATGAAGAAAGCTGAGCGCTGAAAAATTGATGCTTTTGAACTGTGGTGTTGGAGAAGACTCTTGAGAGTCCCTTGGACTGCAAGGAGATCCAACCAGTCCATCCTAAAGCAGGTCAGTCCTGGGTGTTCATTGGAAGGACTGATGCTGAAACTGAAACTCCAGTACTTTGGCCACCTCATGTGAAGAGTTGACTCATTGGAAAAGACCCTGATGGTGGGAGGGATTGGGGGCAGGAGGAGAAGGGGATGACAGAGGATGAGATGGCTGGATGGCGTCACTGACTCGATGGGCATGAGTTTGAGTAAGCTCCGGGAGTTTGTGATGGACAGGGAGGCCTGGCGTGCTGCGATTCATGAGGTCGCAAAGAGTCGGACACGACTAAGCGACTGAACTGACTGACTGACTGACTGATCCTTTAGAAATGTACTTAATTCTGTGCATGTATCTTGACCTTTGCAGAGGACAGTGGGAATAGTAGTATCCTATGAAATGAACGTCTCTTTTGGCAAATGGGACTGACAATGATACTCATTGTTTTTGTTTTTATTTTTAGAGCTCCAACCTCATATTTCAACTTTATTTCATGTAAAAACAGAGCATTGATTTTTCATGAATGGCTATTAATCCAGAGCTCCCCAATCATGTTATTTTTTTACCTACATCCAGAATATTATATTTACTTCTATTATATTCACCTTCTGAGTAGTGACCCTTCATTCCATCACAGTTGAAATAGTTTTAAATCTTTTTTGTTTTTAATCTGACATATTGATTATCCTTCTCGTTCAGTGTAGCAGAAAATGTGATAAGCATGTGTCCATTCAAATAATTGATAAACAATGTTGACCTGGACAGGGCAGCCTGCCGGTAGAGAATGTCCACTAAAATGAGATTAAATGTATAAATCAATATCCTTCATATCCTCTTGTTCAGTTAGCTGCAAATTTACCCGAACATACTACACTTGAACCCCAGTTTCTCCTACTTGTTCTTAGAGTGATGAGGACCTTTGCCTGGAGGAAATCAAGATGTACTGTTTCTACCCATCCGCTTATACCTGCTCTCTGTGCATCTTCTCTAGCTCTTCCCTCACCATTCATCATAAAACAGCCAGAGTAATCTTTTAAACTTGTAAATGAGATCATTCCACTTTCCTGCATTACACCTTGTACTGCACTTAGAGTAAATCTCAAATTCATTACCATGGTCTTGGTTTCATTTCTTGAAGATGACAAATGATCATTTGCACCAGGGCCTTGATACTTTCACTCTCCTTGCCTTATTTGCTTTTCTC